CTTCTTCATCATCCTGGGAGCTGCACTCCCCTGCCTGTCTCTTATACACATCTAGATGTGTATAAGAGACAGGTGTGTGTTTTTTTTTTTGTGTGTGTGTGTGTGTGTGAGAGAGAGAGAGAGAGAGAGAGAGAGAGAGAGAGAGAGAGAGAGAGAGAGAGAGAGAGGAAGAGAGAAAACAGAGAGGACCAAAGAAAGAAAGGTGGCAAGAGATTAAACACCATGGGAATTTCTACAGAGAGGACCAAAGAAAGAAAGGTGGCAAGCGATTAAACACCATGGGAATTTCTGAGCCATGCTTGTCGATTGAACCCTCGAGTTTGTCACTGTGTTGATTTCCGCTTTTGGTTTTCGTGTTCTCTTATGTCTGTTGTGTGTATTTTGTTCCAGTCCAGACGGTGTCCCATTGTTGAGAATGATTGTCATCTGCTGCAGACAGTTTGAGACGTTGCCTGCATCGGCAGTATGTGAAGGCAGTGCTCCACGGAGTGGGGGCCAATACCTGCAGTAGTCGAAGGTTTTGCGACTTTCTCTCACATCCCATACTGAAGAGCATGGTGAAGAATCGAGGCTGCCATGACAGTTGGCATTCCGTTCGATGTTTCATGGACACCTGTGTTTGATGGTGTGATCTCTAGCATGTGTCCATGATTTGATTGTCTAGGTGCGGCTGGAGGGGTGATATACAGGGTGCAGGGCAGGGGAAATATACTGCAAGGGTTTTGCTAGTTCAGCTTTGCCCTGAAGGTAGAATGACACTGGAAATGTGCACTTGCAGGTAAGTGAAGGATTTACGTTTCTTCCTTTCATTTCAACTCTCTTGCTTGTCGGTAATCATGTGCGCAATCCTGCATGGGTCATATTGATTTGGGCACTCTCTCTTTTTCAGCAGTTTTTGCATAGGAGCCCTTCGAAGTGGGTAGCTAAATGAGCTCTATGACCTTCTGGTCTGGGTGCCATCTTCAGAGTTCGAAATCGTGGCAGCCAACAGACGGCAGCACGTGATTAGTTTGGGAATGTCCTGTCCTCGACTTCTTGCGTGTGATTAGTTCGGGAATATCCATGACTTGTGGTATGGGTTGCTGCCCCTCTCCAGCCACTTATCATACCCAGGTTAGGATAGAATAGCATACAAGAAGAACAGAATAGCATCCAAGAAGAACAGAACAGCATAGGATGGGCTCGAACGTGTGGTGTGGATGTCGAGTTTGATTGAAATCAAATCAAAAGAGTTAGTATCACTCTGTCTATGTAGCGGGCAGCTCTCTGTAGAAGCTGGATGAATTAATTACCGGGGGTTGAAAGGTAGAGTAGGTTATGGGAGAGAAGCAATGAAAGCGCAATTAAAAGGGGCATTGAAAGGGCATTGAAAGGGGCAATTAAAGGGCTGGAGAAACTCAGGCACGTATGTGATTGCAGTTCGACCTTATGTTTAATCAGTGCTTCTGCTGGCACAAGGGAGACATGACTCTTTTTTCTCCCTCTCTCTCTCTCAATCAATCAATCAATCAAATCAATTGACGCAATCAACCAATCAAGGTAGAAGAAGCGAGACGTGATTCTTTCCAGTAATTCGGTTCTTCTTGTTGCGAGGTCGATCGGGATCTGGGAGCAAAATGGGGGAGGGAGGAGGTGGTGTCTCCGACGAAACATTGAAGGAGTTCTTGGCTGAAGTCAGTGAGGTTGAGAGAGAGAACGAGGTCAATCGCGTCTTGTCGTCTTTCAAGTTGAACCCTTTTGAGCATTTGAATCTGCCCTTCGAGTCGGGACCTGAGGATGTCAAGAGACAGTACCGACGGGTATCCTTGATGGTCCATCCCGACAAATGTAGCCACCCACGTGCGAAGGAGGCTTTTGGCGCGCTAGCGAAGGCGCAGCAAATGCTGCTGGACCCGGAGGAGAGAGACTACCTGGCATCCGTGTTTAATCTGGCAAAGGAGGAGTTGAAAAAGGAGAGGAAGAAGGAGCTGAAGAAGGACAACGCGTCGAAGATACAGGAAGCACTGGACGAAGGGAGGACAGAGGACGCGTATGAGCAGTCTGATGAGTTCAAGGAGAAATGGAAGATGAGGGTGAGAGAAATTTTGACAGAGAGGGAATGGAGGAGGAGGAAGATGATGATGAGGATCTCGGAGGAGGAGGGACGGCTGGCCAAGTCGGAGGAAGAAACGAGGGAGATGTATAAGAGGAAGAGGGAGGACAATGAGAAATGGGAGGAGACGAGAGAGAATAGGGTTAACAGCTGGCGGGACTTCATGAAGTCGGGGAAGAAGGGCAAGAAAGGAGAGCTCAGGCCGCCCAAGCTCAAGACGGAGGACCCGTCGAAATCTTACATTCAACGACCCGTCAAGAAGTAGCCATGTGTGTGTGTGTGTGTGTGTGTGTGTGTGTGTGAGAGAGAGAGAGAGAGAGAGAGAGAGAGAGGGGGGGGGGGG